CCAGGGCCCACTAAACTCAGTACAAGGCCTAATGTAAGCTAGTATATTAGCTAAGAAATTTTAGGAGGATAAATTAAAAAAAGCTTAAACATGTCACTGAGTTTTCTCAAGATAACACAGCTGGTTTAACTCGCTCGGTTAGCCCGCAGAAGAAATGCTCAGGTGTGTCTGCAAAGTCTCTGACTGATAATCTCATGCATAAACATGTCTGTGGTTCAGAGATTTTTATTTTTTTTAACAGCTTAAACCATTAATGATAATTACTCATCTTCTGCCTTCAGGTGTAAATGTCGGTTAATATTAACAATTTTACAAAGCTTGAGCCTTAGTGCTTCTGAATGTTACAGGAAGGTATGTGGGTGTTGTCGAACCTTTTGTTTTACAAAAATTGTGTGTTTGCGTGTGTGCACAAATGCAGGATGTTCCTCTGCGAAAGGTTGAGACTGGCTTGTTCCTTTATGTATTGAGTTGTTCAAGTGTGGACATCGTTGCTTTAGTTTCTAGGTTTCTCTTTTTAAATGTACACTGCCATTCAAAAGTTTTCTGCTCACCAAGGCAGCATTTATTTTATTATTTAGCATTTCAATTTTTCAATTGAATATTGAAAAATATTCAATGAAAATAATAATGTTGTGAAACATTATTCCAATTTAAAAGAACTGTTTTCTACTTTATTGTATTTTAAAATGTAATTTATTCCTGTGATGCAAAGCTGAATTTTCAACATCATTACTCCAGTTTTCAGTGTCACATGATCCTTCAGAAATCATTCTAATATGCTGATTTGATGCGTAAAGGGTTAGTTCACCCAAAAATGAAAATTATATCATTAATGACTCACCCTCATGTCGTTCTAAGCTCGTAAGACCTCCGTTCATCTTCGGAACACAGTTTAATATATTTTAGATTTTGGCTCAATCCCAATTCACCCCTTGGCCCTACACCCCCGAGTCCGAGAGTTTTCTATCCCTCCATTGATAATGTATGTACGGTATATTGTCCTTGTCCAGAAAGGAAATAAAGACATCATCAAAGTAGTTATCATGTGATATCAGTGGTAAATGGTAAATGGACTGCATTTATATAGCGCTTTCATAGACCTAATGGCCACCAAAGCGCTTTACATTTGCCTCACATTCACCCATTCATACACTCATTCATACACTGACGGGTTAGTTGGAATTTTTTGAAGCATTGAAAATACATTTTTGTCCAAAAATAACAAAAACTACGACTTTATTCAGCATTGTATTGTCTTCCGCGTTCAGTGACGCTGCTGACGTAAGACGCTGCTGACGTGTTATCTGGTGCGCCCGAGCTTCGTTTACAGTCTGAGGGAGACTCAAACTGTAAACAAAACAATCTTCGCAAACATAAGGATTTCAACACAGAGGAAGACTTGCATTTTTTTGCTCAGCCATATTTATTTGAACTTGAATACAAGGACACACCAGATACACGTCAGCAGCGTCACTGAACGCGGATTGACAACAGAACCGGAAGAGAATACAATGCTGAATAAAGTCATATTTTTTGTAATTTTTGGACCAAAATGTATTTTCGATGCTTCAAAAAAATTCTAACTAACCCACTGATGTCACATGGACTACTTTGATGATGTCTTTATTTCCTTTCAGGACAAGGACAGTATTCCGTACATGCATTTTCAATGGAGGGACAGAAAACTCTCTGACTAAATCTAAGATATCTGTAACTGTGATTCGAAGATGACCGGAGGTCTTACGAGTTTGGACAAAATTTTTATTTTTGGGTGAACCAACCGTTTAAGAAGCATTTCTTGTTGTTCTTTATTCTGCCTGTTCTCCGGTGGATTATGCATGTCACAGCATTTCTCCCATCTCTGGCTGTTCGCATTCAGGTTTTGGGGAATCTGAGCTTTGAGTTGGCAGGCATTCGAGTGGTCGATGTCACTTTCAGCGTCTATCAGTCATCCTCTATTCAAACGACATGCACATCCCATCTGTGCTTTTTTTTTTGCTCCATGATCACATCTTTCAAGCTTGACATGGATTTTTGATCTTATCTCTTTGCATGAATTTTAGCATTCATCGCTCCATTGCTCTTTCAGTTACTGTAAGTTTCTGTACATTTTTTGTTGTTGTGAGAGAACATGTCTCACTCCTATACAGTAATGCTGGTAGCATGGTGGTATTGAAGAGATGGGCTTGCAGGGTTGGGTTACTGATAGTGATAACATCGCTTGGAAATCTTTTGAAGCATTATAAATGTTACTGATTCTTACTATGACTTTTGACCTATTAAATGCATCCTTGCCGAATAAGAGTATTCATTTCTTTAAAAAACCAACTTGTATATATTTAAAAGCTTTATATTTCAGGCTCTGTCAATACCTATGAATAGGAAAGAGATTATCCTACTTTAGTTTTCATGTTTAAACAAATTGACTTTTTGAATTTAGTATATTTTGCCCTCTGTTTGGACTGTTATCTATTGCAGCGTTTTTGTATTTCTAAGAAGTTCTCTGGAAATAATGAGCCACGCGAGTTTATAATATCAGGTTCCTTTGGACTTTCTCAATCGGACATCATGCTGTGGATTGTTGCTAAAGCGTTTCAGTTGAGGGGCTGCTGTTGATTAAGGCATCAAATGTTGAAATGAAGCCGCCAGGAATGCAAGTCAGCATTTCCAGTCAGGTGGTGAGAATTGAGAGGATTGATTTCTCGTAAAATTAAGCAATACTTGATATGACATTATTCTCAGATCATATAATATAATACACATAAAATGGAAGATTGGGATTTGCTTCTTTCATTGAAGCAACATTAAAACCGTGTTTTATGACAGCCTATTTTCAACTGGGAACTAAAAAAAATCACCTTCCTAATCTCAGTAATGCTACAAAAATGAAGTTTTGTTATTTTTAGCCAATTCAATTGAAATTATTAAGTGAAAATAACACTTTTCACTTTTTTTTTTAACAACATTTTAACATGGCAAATCTGAGTCTACTTTGCTATACTTGGCATTGATTGCACAAGTTTCTGAAAGATTATTTAATGACTTTCTGGCAATGAATTAACTCCAAATAGAGTTTGTAGGTAAGCCAATTTCTGGTATAAATGAACTTTAAAGCTCTTTGACACAGATTGGCTGTCTTCAGTTGTCTAACACGCATAACTGCATATCCACATCTGATTGAACATGAGATGTCGGTTGGACATTTTGTATGTTCACATTCACACCCAGTCCCAACTCACTGAACAGGCATGCTTTGTTCTCATCATTTGGGGTGGATAGCAGCATACTGTGTTTTGGCAATTTAGGTGAATATTTCATAAGTGCAGGTTCCTGATTTCAGGTCTGCACATTTGAAACATTATTCAGTAAACTGAAGATTGAGAAGCTCTTGCTAGACACTCAATGTAAAGATATCATGCGTCCTTCCCTTGAAATGGGACTTCTTGTTGGTTACTCATGCTGATAAGGATTATTTTCAGTGAATTGTTTGGCTTGAATGCTTCAGCTTAGTTTCACTTGGCAGCAGACCCACTAAAGCACAGGAAGTCTTGCCCTGGTGGTCTTTGCCTAAAAATCACTCACTTTTTGTTACATATAGTCCCTGCTATTGTAAGTCAGAGCACCTCTGTTCCAATTAGTTTGTACTTTGTTTCATTTGTTGGTTCAGATAATTTAGTGTCTGTATGTATGCACATCTTTCAAGTGCACCATAAAAATAGCCATAAACATTTACCTTTGGATCATACTGTGTGAAAATGCAAACATACGCCCTGGATATCACTGCTTTAAGGCAAGTCACTACAGGTAAAAACATTTATTTTTTATTTTTTGTGCTCTGGTCAATTTTGAGATTTTGTGGTATTTGGCTTTTCAGACTAGAAGACAAATAACATGTTCATGCACTTTATCTATTTGCGTGTGTAGACTTTAATTACAATACAAACCTTTAAAAGCCTTTTTTTTTTTCATACTGGGCCAGAAATCAGTAGCACTTATATACACCATTTGCCTGATTTTATACATTTCATTCTTAACCCTAAAACCGTATTCTGGACAAATGTGGGCAAAAAAATAGTTTTGATTTATTTATAAAAATACTTCCCTTGATCATCTGAGTGGTACAAGACTTGGCTACTTTTCCTAAGTTTGCCTCCTGAACACACACAATTTTTTTTGACTCAATTCTACATGTTAAGTGGGTGAATCTTGTATTTGGGTCAAAAATAGGCACCCATAGAAATGAATGGGTAAAACTGTAATTTAGAGCATTCTAAAATAAGCCAAAATAAGACACCAGGTGACGGCAAAGTCACTTAATCTTTAGGTTTTAGCTCGAAGAACTTATTGGAATGATATTTTAATGTAGTTAAAAAAAACTACATAGTAATTAATTTACATTGAAATAATTTACATAGAAAATATGGTACTTTTTGAAGTAAATAAATTCCAAAATACCCCCAAAATAAAAACTTTATCGAAGACAGTGATATAATATTTATAATAAATAAAAATTAGTATCACACCTGAGTCCTCTGTGCCCAGATTTGTCCACAATTACAGGATTAAGGGCTATAAAGTGAATACGGTTTGAGGGCTACAAAACATGTTGATTTTTGTTGTTGTTGTTGTGCTGTTGACACTGTTTTGTTTTTAGATTTATGAAGTGACAAAAAGAGATTCAAAAATCCCCTGTGAAATATTTGCATTTCAGAAAGCTTGTTATACAAAAAAATGTCTGCAATTCTTAATGGAATCAATCAGCCGGGGAAGAATGGTGATATGTATTAGTACATTTTTTACCCTATTCCTATTCAGCCTTAAAAGTGTATCTGACATCTCAGTCAGGCGGTATACATTCCATGTGCTTCCATATTTAGCCATTCCTCCTTCCCTCCCTACTTTTGAGCCTGCCTCCAGTAAGTGCCCTAGCCATGCCCCCTTTGACCCTGACCACTCCCCCTAGTCCCTCCCCCTGCTCCCTGTGCCTGGAACATGCTGTAGCTCAGACAGCACAGCAGACAGCAGAGCCACAGAGACGCCGCCACACATTCAGCACCGGTAGACATGGGCCAGATCATCAGCTGGATCCGCGGGACACAGGACCAAGCGGGCCTGCAGGATGTCTCCGTAGAGCAACAGGTGCCGCTTACTGGATATAAACGCATTGAGGTCTCAGAGAAACGTGCATGCATGGGTTTGCTTAAGTGTGTTTGAGGTGTAGTGACTAACTTGACATTGTGAGGATCGTTTCCTTTTAAACTTTGCCTGAGTTTTTTTTCCGTGTCTGAGCTGGAGGTCTTGACTTTGTTCCCACAGCAACCCTCTGAGGGAGGAGGAGTGCTGGAATGTGTGGGGAATGCCAGGAAATATGTTAGAAAAAGTGTAAGGGACTTTTAGCACTGAAATAAAGCTGCAGTTCCACCAAGGACTTTTCAGCCTGTTATCTGTTTTACTGGCAATATTACGACAAATCCAGATGTTGCAATGCGCAGGAGTTGTTTATTGATAGCCTTTCTGGGTGTGATTCACTATGATTCATTTGACTATTAGGGATATGTTTTTTTTTTTTTTTTGCAAAATTTGCAATGATACTGTCTTACAATTAATTAATAACCGCTGTGGTTTGCCTTATTAAGTAAAAACTATTTTGCCTGATATTGCTGTTTTTGGTTCTGACCTTTGCATCTGATATTTTAGCCTATTCATATTCCTTCTATGTCAGTTATGACACTAATATCACTTGTTTGCTTCCTGCAACCTAAAACTGGTGTCATGCAGACGTCATGGGCAGCTGTGTTGTTTTGAGCATGAGCAGAGCTCTCTGATATGGCTGATGTTAGCCAATAGGCTCGGATCCAAGTGCTGCACATTCCCACAGTGCAACATGCCTGCCCGGTTCAGCATCAGCTACTGAGGTTAATGGCCCGAAGGAACACACTCGCTCACTTTCACTGTGAAAAATGGGCATTGTTAATTTACATACAGATTGTTTTTTTTTAATTGAACAAAAAAGTTAAACAGTTATGTTTCAGTTTTTTTTGATGGTCCGTAGTAATGCACGACATATCGGCCACCATATCGGTATCGGCCGATATTTGTTAATTTTTATTTTGTCGTTATCGGCCCGATAACAAAATTTGGCTGATATATTAAAGCTGATAAATAATGAATTATTTCCTTCAACACTTGAACACTTGAGACACTTAAGATGCGCACTGTTCAAAAGGATTGATCTTAATTGAACTATGATCGGAATCAAAAAGGAAAATATAGTTTCTTATAAAGTGCAAGTGCAAAATGTCCTGTCATATCGGCTTCATGAAATTATAATGAGAACATTATAATTGTGTGATTGGGAAATGGATTTTAATTGTGAGACTTTTGTTTTTGCAATCAGGCTCTCAAAAATTATAAAAAAAAATTGGATTTAGATTTATCGGCCGATATATCGGTTATCGGCTTTCAAATATAAAGAATTATCGGTTATCGGTATCGGCCAAAATGTTCATATCAGTGCATCCCTACTTTAACACATTCTGTTGACTATAAGTTACGTTGCACCTACATGCCTACTAACTCTCATTAGAGTGTTTAGTAGACTGGTAGGGTTAGAATATGTTGTTGACATGTAGTTGCAAAGTTACTTTTAGTCAACAGAATGTTCAAAAGGGACCACCAAAGTAAAGTCTTAATAGTTGTGTAGTGCAGTTCAGTGTATTTATTTAAACCTCATTTTGTCATATCTATTGATTTTAGTGAACTATAATAAAACACATTTATTTTGATTGATTTGAATATTGCCAGAACATAGTACTTATCATTATTTTGAAAGTCTCACAACTTGTAATAATGATAATAATAAAGGTTTTTTTTCTATTTGAAAAGACATAAAAGCTAATATCTAACATGTAATGATCAACTGAAATAAAGCATTAAAGATTTAAGAATGTGACAAAGATACTGGTAAACAATTGGGAATGATGTCACACTAATTGGAGCAGGGGGTCAGTTAGTGGCACACTATTGATCTGAACAGCTAGAGGAACTTGTTCCAACTGCATGTGTTTCCAATAGCTCACAACTATTTCTATACCTTTATGTTTGGGTGCACACATGCTATGCGGACTCGGTTTATTTGCAGACTCACCAGCTAATATTGAGTATTTAAAGCATGAGATGGTATTTTTGTACCCCAGGTTGTGGACTGTCAGATTTGTCAGCTGTTGACCTACACTATATAATACTGCCTGAATGCAAACAAGTTTCCTAGCATTGCCTGCACTTCAACTTTAATGCAAACATTATATTTATGTTGTGTTTTTCTGTCGATTTTACAAAGGTTAGAAATCGTGCCTTGGAAGGTTCAATGTTTGAATGCCCTTGAGTCCAAATGGGGATCGCACACATTCTGAGCATGATCAGATGCTGAATAAAAAAAAAAAAAACACTGATGTCATTATGAGTTATGCACACTTGTGCAACAAGAGCTCTGTTTTTGACCTTTCACCAAATCCTCCCTATGCAAAATTTTTTGAAAGTGAAAAATGTTAGCCTTATAAAATTTTGGCTAAATTCTGAGGCATCATTGCATGTGTCGTTTGTGGAGAATTAGCAAACCCTAACAAAGCAAATCTCAGTATATAGTACAATAGAGAAAACATTTTAATGACAGTAAAGGGAAATAACAACATTTTCTCTAGTTGTGTATTTTTTGTTAAGTATATGCAACATACCGGTAGTAAGTCAACTCAATCTCTGTCAATCATTACTCTATTTGTTGCTTCCAAAGTATCAGATAGCTGCCTCTCTAGGTCAGACAAAGCAGCTCAGCTCACTAGTTTTTGGAACAGAACCTTTATTCATGAAGCCAAACAGCAAACTGGCTTACGATGCCCACTGACTCAATTGAAACTCAGTCAACTTGTTGACTACGTTGAACAAACTACTAAATATAGACACTGTTGCAGCACAGAACGTCAGGACTCAGGATTTCCTTCAGCTGGTTTTAAAGTCAGTAATACTTTTTACTTTTTAATAAAAGGGGAGTGTGTGAAAAGCTGAAAAAGACAGCTTCAGCTACATTTGTAGGATTTTGTGTTTTAAAATGATTTTTTGGGTATTTTCGCCTAATAGCCTGAGGCTGAAAGTGCCCTAACAGGGCATTTGGCTACCTAAGTGAGATTTGTATGTTATTTTTTATTTTATCATTTTGTTTGTTACGGGCAAACCATGTGTAATAATATGCTGACTCTATCATATCACACCTGAGGGTTATTTCCTCATCGGTGCCACACCTTGTGTTTATATGCGTGTGGATGCATGCTTGTGAGATGATGCAATTTGCTGATTACGATTATGACGTTAAACTTCTCTGTGTACATTTGAGGCTGTGTCTTTTCTCAGACCACAAAAGGAAATGCATGTATCTTTGGGAGTTGTGTGCTTTTAGTCTATCAGGTTTATAGCTTTTTTATTTGCTAGTATTCACATGACAAAATTAACTATTATGCTGATACATGCATATGATTCCATTTTCCTGGGAAAACAAACCAAAAAGTGGTCTTTTGATGTAAACTAAAGGCTATTTTTCAGGGGTATAAAACGAGAAAGCCCTCCCACCACCCTGTTTCAATCGAAAACGTCGTCACAGGACAGAAAAACACTCTAACATCTATAATTTGGTTCTTCAGGCTCTGAAGTCTGAATGAAAGCACAGGGATTAAAATGGAAATAATGTTTACATTTCCGTTGAGATGAATGGGAATGCTAATGGATAACTTTCTTCAGCTATAGATGTAGCTGTATATTAGAACTCAAGGACTGCTCAAACAAACAGAGCAGTCTTTTATTAGAGCGCCCTCGAGTTGTGTACTGCGTTTACAGGGCCTGCTTTGTTTTCGAATGTTTTCCATACAGATTGTCAGTTTTGAGCCCATAGAACTTGACTTGCATTTACATAGACACTGAGAGTCATTCTTTGGCCTTCTGAGATTCATTATCACGTCACCTCTCGACCTCTAAATGTGGGTGGGGATCAATTCGGATGACAGACTCATTGACAGATAAGATTTATTAACAGATAAGACTTGCTATGCAACACTCCTTGTTTAGTCACTCTCTTGTTCTGCTAAGGCCGGTTTTGTGCTTTATTATTTCAGATCATTCACTTGGGAATCATTATTTATGGAAGTAAAGTGAGTTTGAAATGACAATTTGTGTTGACTTTAATCAGAAGGACGGTAACGAAATCCGACTTGGTTGGTTGTTTTAGTTGTTTTGTCAGGGTTAGTATATCTGTTGCATCTGGTTGGTCCTTTCCTGTTTTCCTTATTTGGCTTCATTCAAAGTTTCCTCCCTCAGAAGTGGGTCTGTGGAATGCAAGTACATTCCAGCATGCACATGACAACAAATATAGAAATTTAGGTGTATGTCGGAGTTTGTTGTGTTTTGTGAGAAGTGCGATGTGCATCTCAAAATCCCCACCCAGCTGCACCCAATGTGACTGATTTTGCTGTCACCGATGTGTGAGCTTTTTCACATGGATACAAGCTTTATGAGAGATTGTGCAAGCAGGTTGTGCAAAATGTACTTACAAAGGACAAACCATAGTAATTCTGTGATTTTGGGGCAGGACTGTTGTACTGCATACAAATGCACATGGGCATGGCACATCTTTTGTACCGCTGGAAATGCAATTTCAAGACTGTCCTTTTCATTTCCTGTCTAGCTGTATCTTCCCTGCATCTGGATGTTATGTTTTTATGTTAGCTGTTGTGTGTGTGTATACAATATATATATTTGGCAATATACACAACCATTCAAAAGTTTAGGTTCAGAAATTAATACTTTTATTTAGAAAGGACACCTCGATGAAAAGTAAAAGTAAAGACATTTACAATTTCCATTTGAAAAAAAACCCTGCTCTTTTAAAATATTTCTATTTGTCAAAGAATCCTGAAAAGTATTTATCACAATTCCCCCCCCCCCCCCCCCCCCCAAAAAAAAAAAATATCTCAACAATATTCAACATTGATAATAATAAGAAATAACAGTAATTCAGCATATAAGAATTTCTGAAGGATCATGTGATGCTGAAAATCCAGCTTTGGCATAATAGGAATAAATTACATTACAAAATAAGTTAAAACATACAACCGTTATTTTAAATT